TGACTTTTTTCCCATACTATACTGAAATAAAATAAGAAAAATCAGTTAACTTTTTTTTTTTTCATTGGCCCTAACCCTCTTCCGTAGAATGTAACATTAGAAGAAGTTGAAGTGTACAGATGAAACCTCTGGGGGGTGGAGAACCTGTTATAGGTGTTGTAATACTATTGCCAGGCCAGCAGGTGGTGTGCTAGCGCCCCCATACAGGTATAGAAGGTACAAGAAAGATAGGAAAATGTGAAGAATGAATGCAGAAGGGGGGAATAAAGGCTTTAGATGTTGCTCTTTGTTTGGCACATGCATATTAAGGATAATGGGATGCAAACACACCAGTGTGTAGCCAGTAATGCTTAAAGGGGTATCATGGCGGAGAGGCTAGAGGGGCGGCTTCAGACTTAAACGTAATCGGTTTCACGGCTGCTTCGTTGCGATTGGACCCGGAACCGACAAAGCAGCTTGTCATGTGCAGTCAGACCCGGCTTCATCTGCATAGCGCTTAAAGCATCAAATCATGAGAAATGTTGTAGCTTAGAGACGTAGCAGACTGGTACCTTTCCACAAAATTTAAAAACACTCCCAAATCCAGTCTGTTTGTCGTTCACCACAATGGTGAATGATTGCTTCTGACCAAATACTTTCAATCATAAAATACAGTTTTGATGCAATTAGATGCCAGCTGTAATTCCTGCTCCAGTTTGACCAACAGTCTTACTTGGATACACGTTTATATTCCTGTACTGTTTTTCCTGTTTCCATTCATTTTATCTCCAGAATAATTCATATTAGTCAGCAATGTGATGGGTCTATCTTTAAAACATTATTTCTAGGACCCATCCTCCACATCAATTAATTGTCCAACTTTAGGGGCTATGTTAGAAACGGAGACCACAAAGGTGACCGTAGACAGTGCCGCAGAAAGGAGGCCTCTGATTGGTTGAAATCTACATCCACTCTACACTACCCGTATTTCCTGTTTGGTTCCTTACCGGCTTGTTTTGTTTGTCTGACCGCTATTGTGGAAAAAAACTCGTGAAGATGGACCAGCTAGCAGAGCGAGGTGCGAGAGAACGCTGGGACCCTTTTCCCACCTGGATCCCCGCTCTTTTTGGCCCTCATGTCCCTCCGTTGTCGCACAAACTTGCCCCCACTTCCTCGCCGCCTCGGCCGTATCTAGACCCACAGCTAGTTCCTGATTGGCCCTCTGGCGTTGTGGCGTGGAATAACATAGCGCGGACCACGCTTCAATATTGGGCATGAATCAAAAATACCTGCATCAAACCGTCTTTAGTGAATCTGGGTAGGGTTGTCACGATACTAAACTTTTCAACTCGATACCGATACTAAG